CACCTAAACTAGTATGATGTCAGTCCTAATATAAGGATGTGCAGAAATATCAGGGATGATGATAAAACAACAAAAGATACAATTCTATCGCCACAGGCACACAAAAAATACCTAGCAGGAAGTTTATATAACTTAAGTGAGGGGAAATGCCATTGTACAAATATTCTCTTTCTTATTGCTTCATTAAAACATTATTTGATTAATAGGGCTAGGCTTCTGCTTTCCCCTCCGAGGTCTTTGAAGGTCTACGTGAAGATCAATGAATGAGAGCACTCAGTGTATTTACCTATCCTTTCCTGCCCCTCGAGCAGTGTGCGGCAGCGAGATAGGCACCCTTGAGAGGTGAAAGGAGATTCGGATGCAGGCTGCGATTCAAAAAACCGGGATGTGATGTGATAAATCCCTAGCAAACAATTATGAAATTGCCATCAAATAAAGCTTTGTGTAGAGAGTAAACGTTGAATCAGTGTTTGATTTCCGCAGGGAATTAGGCTTTCAGGTCAGTTTGGTTTGTGACCCTGCAGCGAGGATGGCATGCGTCCCGAAATCACAGACTATATGAGCCACCTGCGCCTGTGTGACACAGCATCCATCACACCTGACACCAACTACCGATCCCAAAATGCTATGGTAATCAATAGCGGGTCAACATCAACTAGGCAGACACTGGTTTCCCTGCACGGAGCCAACCAATAGGTCACTGGCAGGGAAGGAAAAACCATATAAAAATTAGGGATATGCTAGCAAAACGTTCCAGAGGCATTATGGATTTATCAGTGAAGAGCAGTGAGAGTGTGTGTGTATCGCACATAATCATATATACACACACACACATATATATATATATATATATATATACATACATACATACATACATACACCTGCCGATTATCGTATGATAATCGTGGGAAATCCAGCGATCGTACAATAATCGCCAGGTGTATGGAAGACGTGCAACCTTTTCTACTGTACGGTCGCACGTGTTTAGTCTCCGAGCATGCTTGAAAACCCGCCGAGAATCGTACGATTGTCGGCGGGTTAGTGACGTTCACGGGAGACAAATGCCACACGTCCCGGTGTGCGCAAGCGCACACTGCCCGTGCGGCATTGGAGTCATCGGAAGCCCGCCCCTCAGCGGGGCGGGCTTTTGATGATCGCAAGTACGATCTGCCTGTCCAAGATGGGCAGATCGTACGAGCTTTTAATTACTTTACAACCATCGCACGACTCAAGCCGTGCGATGATTGTTAAGTGTATGGTCAGCTTTACACTGATGATTTGCAACATAACCCGTTAAAATATAAAATTTTGGACAACTCAAGTGCCCAGTGTACAGCTAAGACTTCTTGTGTAGAACAGGTGTCCCCAATGGAAGGTTCTGTTCTCACCTCTGGTGACAACTGTAAAATTTGCAATTTCCTAGCTGCTATAGTGGACCACAGTGTGTACATGCTGGCACTGCCGCCAACGTAATGGCTTTGTTATAGGCAGGGAGAGAATTAGAGCAGTAGGTGTTCTCAGTACTCCTGCCTTAAACCAGAACTATACCCACCAATTTAACTGTTTCCCAAAACAGTTAATCTCAAGAAATACCTCTAGTAATAATTTTCAAGGTTATGTGTGCTTTTTTCAGCTCTCGACCAAACATTTAGGCCCTCAAATGGCTGGTGCATAGCTGATCACATGTGCAGCACTATAGCAACTGTAATGCTGCCCACAATCCTATTTGTCAGGCAGGATTGTAAATCCTTGGTGTGAAAAGATCCTTACCAGCCCTTCAGCATTTGAACAACTTGTACTGTCTATGTGACAGCAGAACAAGAAACAGGGGGGGGGGAACTATTGTCACGGTGATTGGAATGACAGCAAATAACTTAAAGTAAGAGTTTGTAACCCTGAAACCATTCCACTACAAATGAGTTTTTATTTTTGTCGGTGTCCCCGTTGTCTAAAAGGGGTATGTTTCCTCATATTTTACACTCACTTCCTGTTGTGTCTCCAGGACAGAAATCCAGGGGAATGCTGGGTATACAATGATAGAAATGTTTCATTTACCTTTTGGGCCAAACGAAAAAAAACCCCCTAACAATCCCTTCCTGAGTCTATCGTATTTTGACAGCCTACCAGCTGTCAAAATACCTGAACAGTGCCTTCATGTAAGACCATGCCTAACGGCAGAGTCTCGACCGCGCATGCGCATAGGCCTGTTCATCACATTTGCCGGAAACGGCAGCTACTGCGCATGCGCGAGCGGCAGCTACTGCGCATGCGCGAGCGGCAGCTACTGCGCATGCGCGAGCGACAGCGACTGCGCATGCGCAAACGGCGCATGGCGCACAGGAAGTGACTTGCTCTGTCTGGCCTATTTAAGCTGGCCCAACTCCCAAGATCTTTGCTGAGTGGTCTTTCAGCTCCAGTGTGTTATCTCCTGTATCTTGCCTGTTGCTTGTTATCGACCGGATTCCTTGACCTTGCCTGACTGCCGCCTGCCTCCGACTTCTGCTTGTCCCTGGATTCTCCTTTGCCTTCTCCTATTGTACCCTGCCGCCCGACTGTTGCTGACCCTGGCTTGCCCGACTCCGCTCTGCTCCAGCCGCATCAGCACCTGCTTCCTACATCGCTGAAGACGGGCTTCGAGGACCTGCCCAGGCCCAGTGTCCTGCATCACCCGGCACCGGTGCTGCCCGTAGTTTCCCCACCTCCTGTCTCCACATTCAGGGGTGTGGAACTCGTGCTGCAAAGGAGGCCTCCCCACAACTCGGCTCCCCACCAGGTACGTGATACTTCATGATTGGATACAGCCGATGTTCAGCCAACAATTTTCCTCCCAGCTCCCTCACTTTTTCAATCAAAGTGTGTTGGACAGGAGCTGGCAGATAGGGTCACCCACTGAGCAAACTTCAGCAGGTTTATCAAAAATCAGCAGAAATCCGCTCTGTGTATTTCCAGCCTTAATCTCCACAGTCAGGAAACAGATGGCAATAAAAGGTTCTAACTAGAGGAGCACCAAAAAGAAAATTTCGAAACCCAAACTAAACTAAAATTTTAAAAAATGTCAGGCCGAAACGGAAAATGTTTTTTTTTCTAACTTTTTCAAAAATATTTAAATATTTTATTTTTTAGAACCTTTTTAATTTGTTTTATATTTTATTTTTATTTATATTACATATTTTTTTACTTTACTGTTGGGGGCTTCGGTGAGATATCAGGGGTCTTAAGAGACCCCTGATATTTCCTTTTTAAAATAGAAAAAGAGATTGAGGACACAGAATCCTCAATCTCTTTTTCTGCAGCCCGTTATAAATGAACAGGAATCATCTATGCTGAGTGTTCCTGTTCATTCATAACTTGTGGACATAGTATGTTTACCATGTACACAATCATGAATGAACAGAAAGTGTTGTAGATAGCTTCCCATGCATTCATAATTGGGGACAGTAAACATACTATGTCCTCATTTATTTACAAACACTCAGCGATCACTGAGCGGTGCGGGAGGAGAGCTCAATCTCCCGACAGCTGACTCCTCCCCTGCACTGCCGGCCCAGCCTCCTGTGACAGCTATCTCCGCTCCCACACCGCCACTCTCCTGATCTGTCACAGGAGGCTGAGCAGTGCGGGCGGAGAGACGTCGAGCGCTCACAGTGCTCTCCTCCCCCACACTGCTCGGCCTCCTGTGACAGTTTCTCTCCTCCCCGCTGGGACACAGAGCATTGCCCAGCGGGGAGGAGAGAAACCAGGGATGTACTGATATTTTGGGCGAAAGATGGCACTTTGCCAATATGTTTCGGCTGTCAAATTTTGGGTGCATCCCTGGAAATAGGCATTAACAAAGATGTGTGGGCAAAGCATATTATACTGTAAGATTTTTTTTTCTTTCTTCTATAAAATGTCCACTTTGAATTTGTGATGATTTTAAGAAGGGAGATCTATCCTACGCATACTTGTGAACTTGCAACCTAAGAGCATGTGTACCTACCTACCTATAATGCAGACAACATTGAGGGAATAGACATTCCAACAGCTGAAAAAAATCTGTTCACACAATTGATATAACCCCCCCCGATTCCCTTCCCAAGGTTTTGGTGTGCCTGCAAAACCACATCTACAAAAAAAAAAGTACAGATTTAAATGTTTTAATAAATTACTTAAAAGTTAGTTTCTTAAGGGCCAAGTAGTCAACAATTCCCATATTGGGAATGTTGGGCGTAGCATCTGACATCACATTGATCATTACGACCGACGGCTGCTGTCATTTAAAACTCCTGCATACACTCCTAAGAGAGATTCCATGCTGTTACCACTGCTTTTATGTGAGTAATTTTCTTTTAATAAATCATACTCTGTTTGGATGGTACGCATTATGGTGCTTGCTTTCTCTTTTTGGATAACACGATCCTACTTTTGACATACTATACTGAGGAGATCCACAGTTGGATAAAGATGGGAGGTTATTGTTTCCCCACTAAAGAAGTGTTATACAGATCTGTCTGCTGGCATAACATTATTGGAGGACATCTGCGATTGGAGTTGATGGCCCCCTCCCCTGGTTAAGAAGGGAATTTCCCGATTTGACCTTTTGTTGAGGTCTATTAATAAGGTGAGCACCCCTATATCTGGGGCGGTGCATTTGGTGAAGGAACAAGAAATATTCATCACTATTGCTGTTTATCTATGGACATTTCTTCAGCGTTATGAACATTTACAGACTTCACATCTGATTTATATATTCACTGACATTTGTTTAGGAGTCACAGATTCTTTTATTGTTTTTTTTTGTATTGCTCATTGTTGTAGCTCGGCAAATTCAGTTATTCAATTCCCATATGATTGTAGACAGTTGTCTCTACACATATGGATAACAAGCACACTCTATGATGGATAACAAGCTGCTTGGTCCTGAAGAAGCAAAAGTGATATGCATGGTCTCAAGTGCTGAAAATCCACTCTACGGATTCAATATATAGTTTTTGTAGATGTAAACAGCAGAGGCCTCCTACCTTATCCTGGTTCTCTTTGTTTCTGTAACACAAATTTGCAATCAGGCGAATAAGATGAGCTTTGAAGCCCACGGCGGCGTGCGTGAGGTCACTGCCCAGACTCGCAGTATGAGAAGAGGTGAAGATGTTCTTGCTTTGTTTTCCAGCGAGATGCGTCAGACGTAGTGTGTCTGCAGAAGACAAAAAGTGTTAAATAGGAAGATATTTGGTGGGGTATATTGCAATAGTGGCATTAGAGGCAGGAGGAACGGGACACGGCAAGAGGAACGGGGCACGGCAGGAGGAACGGGGCACGGCAGGAGGAACGGGGGAATGCAGAATCACAGAGGTCTCTACTCCCCACTGGGTGCCGGCTGCAGCGCTCTGTGTCCCCTCTAATGGAAGGGGACACAGACCACAGCATGCAGTGGTTCCCAGCGAGGAGGAGAAGGAAGGAGTAGAGCAGCGGGGGGGTGTTAGGGGGCTGGGGGGGTTTATTCAACTAAACGGAACCAACTAATCGATAATGAGAATCAATGACAATGATTCTCATTATCGATCATCATCGATTCGTTTTTGCAGCCCTATCTTAAAATTTCTAGTTTCTAGGTTTCAGTCTCTATAAACCAACTAATCGATAATGAGATTAGTTCGGACTAATCGGAACCAACTAATCGATAATGAGAATCAATGACAATGATTCTCATTATCGATTAGTTGTTGCAGCCCTATCTTCAAATTTCTAGTTTCTAGGGTTCCGTCTCCATGGGTTATATATATTTTTGGTGCATATTTATTTATTGTATACCCACACTCCTAAGAGCAGTCTATCTTCATATATTTATTTTCTATATTATGGAAAAAGAGACTTGTAATGAAAACAAAACAATCCATCAATTGGCAGATAATCTCTAGCAACATAAACTAAAAAAGCCCAACTCAAGCCAAAAGGTTGTTGTTTTTTTTTATTTTATTTTGTATTGGATACAGCAGGGGAAGGTTACGGGCTCCGTCAGGTTCTAAATGTGGTCGGGACAGCAGGAAGTGATGGAAAATCTCTCCAACAGAAACACAGACAAATTCAAATATACAAAATCAAATACAAATCATCAAAACAAAAAGTGAAGGGTTAGAATGTCTGACTATATCTGTGTCTTCCAGCCCAGGAGAATCTATCCTCCCACTTTATTTATGGGTATCCCAGGGCAGGAATTGAGGGAAAACCTCCCCAGTGGAGTCACAGCAAGAAAGATCTGGCAAAAATGTTAACTAAATCCAATTTGTTTTTAAAATGTCTGAAGTTAGGCTTTAAAACCTTTAGTGTCATAGATGAAAAAGATATGAAGCAGAATCCTAACAGCCATGGGGTATTAGGAGTGGGTACCTTGTAAGATTTTAAGATAGGGAGGGAAGAAAGAATAGCAAACCAAAAAAAAGGAAAAAACAGTAGAAATGGAAGACAGGTAGAAGACAAATGGAAAGAATAAAGCTAGCAAGAGGAAATAAAAGAAAAAAATAGGAAAAGGAAACCGGGAAGGGAAGGACCAAGGAAAAAAAAAAAGAAATGGAAAAAAGTTAGGGATAACAAGACTAAGGGATAGTAGTAGGAAAGGAGTGAGGATGTAGGAAATTAAGGTTGTAACAAACAAAACATCATATATTTAAACCTGACAATTAATCAGATTATATTTCCCTGATTCCTCCTCTCCCCATTCATCAACATGCTAAACACTTTTCATACCTTATTATAGACCTATTATAGACCTAGTAACATCTTCACTAGAACTCGGTTCCTTTTATATACAATGCAGGCAGATCATGGCTGATGGTATTTCTATGGACCATCAGGGTGCTGTACAAAGCTTCCAGAAAACATCACAGCATCCTGCCTTATACCTCCTCTCAAGACCCCTCAGCCCTGATGTAAGCAGTGGGCTGGCTCTTGGATCAGTGTCAGCCTGGAGAAGTGAAATAATAACCATATGTGTTGCTGAGACTCTATGACTGAAAGAACTGAAATCCAATTAATAAAAGGGGCGAGGCAGGGACAAAAGGGCTGCCGAGGAAAAGGCTAGATGATACTCAACATTTTCCAGCCAGGAACTGAGGTGGGCTATATCTGACGTGAAGCAGCTTCTGTGAATGTGAGAAGCTCACAGTGTGCAGTGAAATCAGAGGAAGCAATTTCAGTCCAGGAGAGGAGCCGGTACAACTGTATAAGACTGAAGGGAAGGCTGGAGTTCAGTTTTGAAAATGAAAGGGGAGGAGGCGAGGCTGGATGTCGAAAGGATCCAAGTTGCTTCACAGGGTTTGATTTGAAGACTAACACAAGGTGCTGCTCTTCAGCACTGCTGTTTCATTAAATACCTTTTTTTGGCCAGGACAGGTTCACTTTAAGGGTAAACTGCCTTGGCTGGCCAAAGTCCAAACCAATACAATAAAAACACACCATACAGTTTTAAACAGTATAAATGAAACCGCCGCATTATAAATGTAATATTTTGCATTTACATACCAAGAACTGTGTCCAGTAACCCTGAGCAGCTCTGCAAACAGGTCAGGTGTTCGCTGTCCGAGGTCATTTCACAGAGGATATCTAGGAGTCTCACTACAACAACAGCTTCCTGCTGAAACAGAATCATGAACTGAAATACTATCTGCACACAAAAATATGATGGCAGATGTGAAAAAATACTACAGTGACAACCTTACCGGCTCATCACAGTCTCTAGAACTGGCGAGTTTTAGCACAGCTCCACACTGATTCTGGAAGCATTCAGAGAGGAACTCCGCTACCTCCTGCAAGCTGGCCAATTCTTCTGCACTCAGAGGACTCTTGTCACTCACCTTTGACATTATCATCTCTAAAAGGACCACCCTACAGAAAAAGATTATAATTTTATTGCTCTGTAAATGGTAAAAGGGAAACGCTACCCTGGATAAACTGCTACAAAATGTATGGCACTTGACGTTTCTCTTAAGAACAGCTCCACCCAAAATGTATTTATTTTTGTTACCGTCCAGTTCCCCAATATTAAGATTGGGAGACAGGTAATTTGTGCTCTCGGCTTTTGAGGATTTCATATATTTCTATGCAGAAGCCATAAGAGCTGCCTTTCTCAGCCTTTTTTAAACATTTTTGTTACCTAAAAGGAACCTTCGAGTTGAGTTTGAGGTAAAAATGATAGCTACAGCTCATGGTACTTTAATGTGGTCATTGGGAGAGGTGCCCCCTTCTATTGGTGGTCACCTTTAACTTGGTGCCTTATCACTAGGGATGCACCGTTACGCGTTTTTCAGTATCGAGTACCGATATTTTTTTCTAAATACCTAAAGGGAAGTCCCATTAAGGAAGACGGGCAACGTGTAATGACTCGCCAAACCAGCTTCCCGATTTCCATGCTCCCTCGTCACCAGGTGACGAGAGAGCATGGAGTTGTCTTTCTGGCCAATCAGAAATCCGGGCACAGTGTAATGACTCGCTGCCCGGCTTCCTAATTGGTCGGGCCAGTTTCCCAACCAATCAGAGAGCCAGGAGGCGAGCCATTACATGCCGCCCGGCTTCCTGATTGACCGGGAAGCCAAGTAACAAGGGAGCATGGAGCCGGCTTCCTGGCCAATCAGGTAGCCAGTCAGCTGTAATGACTAGCCACCTGGCTTACTGACAATGGAAGTTCCGGTATTGGGATAAATATCGGAAGCATTTGGCTTATACTAATACTGAGTACTCACCCAAATACTCAGTATTAGCACCGACATTAGTATCAGTATCGGTGCATCCCTCCTTATCAGACTGATGGCCAGTGGAGATGGGACCCTTAGTATGGTGCTCAGTAGAGAAGGGCCCCTTAAATTGTTGGTGGATAATGGGAAGAATGTCTCCTTTGATGTGGTGGTCAGTGGGAGAAAGACTGCCCCCTTTACAGGCACATCTAAAAGTATCAATTGTTAGTGAAAGACGAGAGGAGAGGCTCCACTAGTCCCATACCACTGGATCTGTCAAATGACATGTGCCTTGGAACTATTCAGACACCATCAAGCTGGAGTTCAATCATCCAGCCCATAGAAACCTCTGGAGGAAACCTAGGCTTCCATGGAACCCTGTTTGAGAAAGGCAATACTACAGGGTGCAGGCTAAAATATTTCTATGGACCACTGGATTTCTCCTGGGAGACTTTTTGCAATTGATAATATGATGCATTGTTATAAAGTACATTTTAGGTGTACACTTTGTGTTACATTCAGGCTTATTGCTGGTCATACATGTAGAAATGAATGGGCTATTTTAACCACAATGAACCAGCCTTTCATTGCTAAAGCAATCACAAGCAACTGAACATACAAAGGCAACCAAACATTGAGAACATTATTCAACCAGCAAACTTTGATCAATTGGAATAGTTTTGATATATTAGAAGAATACTAGTTATCAGATAGCGATGGAAAATGATGGAAAACAGAAAGCAAGTCAAACAATCTGATGAAAGCAATTGGATAGTCCAACAAAGTTTCTTCAATTTAAATTCCCAGTGGCCAATTTTTGATTATTTATTAAATTCTTTTCATTTCGATTGAAAATCCCAAGATAACCGAGACAGAATGATCAGACTGTCACACTAAATCAGCCCCACAACAGTCTAGGAAGCTTGCTACTGCGATTTAAACAATGCACAAAGATCAAAGTGTTCAGAGTCATAAGAACATCGACAAAAAACAGGTTTTCGGAGCTCTATATCTTGCTAAGGACACATTGTTCCTCGTATATTGGACGCCACTATATATTTAGCTGTTGGGCTGGAGTTGTCTTTTAAATTGGCTAAACCTCACACACAGCAATGGCGCCAACCTGGATCCTGTAATCTCACAAAAAGCCATGCCAGTTTGTGGCCAACATGTAATGTTTAGCAACCGGTTTAAAACCATTACAGGCACGGAAGCGTGTACTTAGGGAACTCGTGCCAGTTCTCAAACCACAATTTTTAAATGACGGCAAACAGGGTGCACATTGCGGCGGGCTACATGCATCAGGTTACTCTGGTTTGCATGGCGTTACCTGTCAGAGTGGCTCACACTGGCATAAATCTGTTTCAGCAGCTCCGGGTACCTCAGGAAGCGGTCTGTGACAATCAGCTGCCTGCAGAACAAAGAGGATAAATCGACATTGAGGAAGAATGTCATTCAGGGTAAAGATCACAAACATAAGAGCTAGTCCACCAAAAATTAATCGTTCAGTGATTATCAGATGCTTACGAGTTTAACTATCTAATGATCTCTGATATCTCTTTGTATCTCCAGTGGTGAGCTCTTTTCGTATAAAGCTGACATCCAGGCAAAACAAATATCATCTAAAAACAAGGAGGCATGTATATTTTTCCTTGAATCTTGGGTCTCTTTTGCGGATTTGTTTAAGATTTCTTCAGCAATACAGCGGGAAACAATTTCAGCCACATTTTGCCTCTGTGCATGATTTCCCTGTAAGATAGACTGGTACTGTATTTTGTTTCTTGCAAGGGTGACTGGTCTTGTATCCCCATGTAAGTTTCTACAGGTAGTAGAAGGGGCTACCGAGTCCCACAGCTCTGCTCACTGCAGTTGTGATGTCACTGTTGTTTGCAAAGGCATCTGGTACACACAAAGTGGATTTATTACCTTTGTGGCTATTGAGCAATATATTTAAATTAAGGTTTTTGAGCACATAGTTCAGCCTTAAGCAGCAACTATTGAACAGAAACTATATTATATTTTGAGTGCTGCTTAAAATTGGCATTAAATACCAATAACAAATAAATTATTACGGCAGTGTTTACCTTCCCTTTAAGAAACTTTTTTATGTGACTTATGGTTTTACAGACTTGCTCTGCCATATTTTGTGTTTTTGTATTAAATACATATATTTGCAAATAGCCAATAGATAGAGCTCTCAAAGGCTCTGTGCCATTACTCTGTCTCTCTAGACTACTGCTGAGATGAGATATTAGCTACACTGTTAGCAGTAAGTCAATTTATAGAGTCGCGTTAATGTGCTAGTCTTTGGGGACTGAAAAGGCAAGGGGATTAAAGAGCAGTAAAGTGCAAGTACTTTGTAGCATTGGAAGCAGAGTCTGCATATGCAATAAACAAATACGGATTCCCCCCTTACTTACTAATCATAAATACAAATGGGGGTTTCCAAACATTAACACACATTGATCAATTTTTTTTATTTAAAAACAAAATTCAAAGAATATACATTCCCTTTAAGTAGTGGTCTGTTCTGCTTGAAAGATTTTAAAGGGGTATTTTTAGATCCATATGTGAACCCTGCTGGGATTGGACAATGAAAGAGGAGCAGCCCACTGATCAGGTCAACCCCCTGTCTGCCCCTGCTGTAAGCATGGTCACTGTTACCTGTAAGTGGTGTCATTCATCTGCCTCTGCTGTGTAACGGAGCTGTGCTGCGTGGCAGAGTTGTGTAAATCCCAGGACTGAATGGGCAGAAATACAAATCCTTTGGCTGGTAGGACAACTCCCTTATATGTATTCCATATGTGTATTTAGCCATTTGCCTGCAGTTCACTTTATTAACAATTCTATTGAAAGAAACTGAAAAGCTATCAAAGCAAGACATAGGGTCATGCACTATGTATGCCAACTGAAACCTACCCATCACTGATTGTGTTAAAGAGAAAAGCCCAAAGTGCAGATAAAGTGTACAGGTGTGTAGAGGCACGATCCTGCCCACAAAACATCTGTCCTGCCCTGTACAAGCAACTGGCAGTTTGTAAAGCTCAGTCATTTAACTATGCCACTTTGTACAGATTTATTGTCTTGGAATGATACAGAGCTAAGAAGCAGAATCGTTTGCAAAGCCAACATTTTATTTTGTGGCTTAATGAGTAACTAGAATATAAAAGCCACTTGTGGTGGGGCTCAGAGGAAACACGCACAAGTGGTCCAGAAGCTGGAGATAAGCCGCTGTGATCTACCATTTAATACACCAGGATTAATATTCTTTCATAGATAAATGCTAGGTTCTGCCGCCTGTGAGGTTTCTGGGAGCTTTGAACTCTGTTTGGGCTATAAACAACTAATGGAAAATTATAATGAAAATAAAAGCTGCTCTATTCTGTAGAGGACTTTGGTAACGAGCACAAAAGAAAGTCCTATAAATCTTTAGTTATGTAAGCAGGCTTAAAGGGAACCTGTCACAGAAACAAATCTGCCTTGCTGACGATGTGGTCTAAAGTGGAACGATGGTCAAATAAGGACACCTTCTGCTGCCCTGCACACTTTGCTTGAAGATTTTAAGAGAAGCCATGAGATAACTCTACTGAATGAAATGGCTACTCCAGGATTCCACAGAACCTATGAATCAGAAGAGGGAGCTAGAAGGGACTTGGGAGTGTTATCACTTTTCCTCCATCTTAGTCCTCATTCACATGAGTAACAGGCGGCCCCTACAGATCCGTGCATGGCCGTATCGGGCTGCACCCAAGAAGGACAGGTGCTGCGTGTGATTTGTACGCAGCAGCCTGTTCTTCTCTATGGGAGTACGTGGCCGTACGCTCACCCGAACTGCACGTCCGTGTGGGTGCGGGTGTCCCTGTTCGGATGCAGACAGGATCCAACCTGGCAGTGTACGAGTACAGACACCCGCACCCACACGGACATGCAGTTTGGGTGAGAATAAGGCAGCGTACGGCCGCATACTCCCATAGAGAACAGGCTGCTGCGTACAAATCACACGCAGCACCTGTCCTTCCCGGGTGCGGCCCGATACGGCCATGCATGCAGCACGGATCTGTACGGGCCGGCTGTTACTTGTGTGAATGAGGGCTTAACAGTAAGTCCAGGATTCTTCGCAAATACTGCATGGAAGCACTCAGTTTTTATTTTTCTATTTCCCTGAAATCCCCCTGCTTTGCAGCCTATATCCCCAAACTAGCTACAGTAAGCAAGCAAGCAAAGCAATTTTGAAACTGGTCTGCACATGGAAAGCAAGGGAGGTTTCAGGTTGTATTTGTAAAGTTGCTTGGCATCTATATGTATAGCGCTAAGAAGTTTTGCCGTTTATGCAGGATTTTAGCATGCTAAAGCGGTACATTGTTTTTCATGGCAATTTGTTGTTTTATATTGTAGGCCTGTAATTCTTAGTAAATCTTAGGAATAACTCACTAAATCTGTCCACACAAGAGTCCAGTAGACATCCCATGTATGATAAAGTTTTGAAACAC